CCTCTTTGACAATACGATTTTCGGCGAGCAGCTTCTTTGGCGACATCGTGCATTACAAATTGTAGTCGCGATCCGTTCCGCCGCCGCCACCACTGACTCGTCTCATCTTCGTCTGCCAATGCTGTCGCTATCCGCGCTGTCCCTCTGTCTGTCTCCCGCTCGTGGTCGGTTCGTGGCTGGAGCCGCATAAGTTTTGGTCCCAGTCTCGCCAGAGCTCCTAGCCAATCAAACTGCATCAGTTCACTTATTGGCTGCAGGCGACTGAGGGCCCACGGCCTGGGAGCAAGACTCAACGGCACACACGCACGCACTAAAAATTCTTTACCTGTGCGGAAGCTCGTCAACCGAAACAAACTTTCTGCGAGTGGCTCACTCGTTATCTGAAATACTCGTAGAGGGGGGGCGCTCGTTACCCGAGGCTCCAATGTATTATGCAACATGCTTTTCAATTGCCCACAATATTTAGGGGGTCGCTTGGTACGTTGAGAGCATTGACGTAGGCAGATCCAGCGGATGTTCTGTTTTGCATACTTGGTGCGGATGCGATCATGCCTGACCCAGCGGGCATGTTTATGTCATGGTCTGTAGCCCCCCACGCGTGACAATCCGCGTCCGAAAATCTGAATATCTCAACTCATTTCCTTCTACAGTGACAAAGGTCAGATAAGGGAGTTTCAAGAACTGCTTCAATGTCTTAAGGAAGTGCGTTGCGCTGGATTTTGAGTAGACCTCCTTTTCGACGTCTTCAGGCGAGCAACAACGCCGGATCGAGGGCGGTTTAACTAGGCTCACGATGCAGACGACAGAGAACATGTCCAAAACACCACAGTCGTCTATCTTAGATAGTCGGAGACATCCTCTCCGTATCGTGACAGCGAGTGTGGATTGTCTCATCTGAGTGAGGTACCCGAATTCGGCTCAAATGAGTCAGTCCGCACTCGCTGTCACGATACCGAGAGGGTGCCTCCGACTATCTGACTAAGACGACTGCGGTGTTTTCGACATGTTATCTGTCGTCGGCCTTCCGAACTTCCTTATGCTACCCTTGTTTTAGTGTCGTTGATCACCTGCGGATGTCGAAGGAGAAGTAAACTCAAGGCCTGACTCGACACAGTTCGTCAAGACATGGAAGTGGTTCTTGGACCTTCTGTTACTGGCGAAGAGAATGGGTTGAGTTGTTCAGATCCGCTGCAGCACTCATGGAGAGGTACACTACGTGACATCATCGATGCCGGCTAGATCAGGCATGATTACAGTCGCGTCAAGTGGGTGTTAGTTAACGCCTTTAATGACGACGACATCGATCCTGGTTGCATTACCCTGCTCTTCTTTTCCTGCTTTTTCCCTAGTTGCCATCAAGGACTGTGCCCTTGCTGACAAAATCGCGGAACTGGCCCTGCGTTTTGCACCGGCTCCTCCACCGGAGTTCCTGTTGAGTGGTCTAGACCTTCTGCTCACCGGTCGGCGGTCCGTACTGTTGGACCCAGACAACAGCGCAGTCGACACCAAGCCTGCGCCGAAACTGTCCCTGCGAGATGATCTCAAGGCGAACCTTCGCAAGGCGATCGGCAACCTTCCCACCGCTGACTCTGACTGTGCTGTGGATCCAGCTATAGTGAATAGTCTGAAGAAATTGTTGAAATGAAATCTGCCCCGGCTTGTCTCCTCTGTACAGCTACCTCTCTCCTCCACATGTCTCTCTTAATTAAA